ACTGCTTTTCTTTTGCCTTTATCGATATGGATCTGAAGATGACAGCCAATAATTTCAGTAATCGAATCGCTTAACGATTTTATGTGCAGAGAACGATTTGATAAAAAGTCGGATGTCTAAAACATCAGAAGCAAAAATATTCTGAAAAATGTTTACTAACTTGAAATCACTTTGGTTGTTTGCAACTGTCATTCTAAAAAGTATGACTAACGATTTTTCTCGTTTCACCTTCTAAAGGAAAATTTTTTTTTTTGCTTTTCATTAATTGCTTAACAGTTTGAATTACAAAAATGTATAAGCTATTAACTTTCTGGTAACAAGTGTGTTATGAAATTTTAATGCTTTCTTAAAAGGTATTTTATAGAGATTTGGTGAACACTAACAATGTTTATCGAATCGTAAAATTTTAATGGCAAAATTTAGGTTACTAAATTTTTTCAACAGACATTACTATTCTTTATTTTTTCTTATAAATTTCGATTTTTTCGGGGGAGGAATTAAAGTTTTTTAGTAACAAGAATGTTTGATATTATTTCAGCTTTTTCAACAGTTACTGCTCAAAGTACCGATGATATTGTTTTAGATGCAGGTATACCTTAATTTATAATTATCAGCAAAGTTGAGTGACAGAAGTAATCTGCGATTAGTTTGAGAGACAAAGATAAAATGTTGTAAAAAAAAAAAGTTTTCAACCAAAAAAATACACATTTTTGAATAAAACTTAAAACTTTTGGTGTGTTTCCTTGCTTTTCTGCTTTAATCAATATTGACTCTTATTATGTTTAGTGTTTGTTTTTGTTGAAAATTGCATGAAAGAAGATTATTTATAACAACTATAAAATTTGAAACTTTTAGGCTCATTACTTATCATACAACAAAATTGTAGCTTTGTCAATGATTGCTCACAAAATGGTTACTGTATCGGTAAGTTAGTAGTTATGTGCTAAGAGTTTACAAATTGATTATTCTTGTAAAAAATAAATAAAGTGCTGACTGTTTATGTTTTTTTGCTGCAAAAAGTTCCAACAAAAACTGAATTAGAATTTCGACAGTAACTGAAAGCTGTTTGGACTTTTTAACAAAAACCCAGTGGTTTTAAGCAGTTAGGATAAAATAATAATTGACTTGGAAGCCATGATTAACCAATACTACTCAGTTCAAATTCTCAATGTTTTAGGTTCTAATTTATGTGCATGTAATCCTGGTTTTTTGGGGGCAGACTGTTCACAGTTTTCTTGCGAAAATTTAAATAACTGCTCTACAAATGGTTACTGTGTTTCGTTTAACGTCTGCAAATGTTTTCCTGGATGGGATTCAGAAGACTGTTCTCTTCCATCTTGCAAACAGCTTGCCAATTGTAGTGGTCATGGTCTATGCGTCTCGTTTAATGAGTGTCAGTGTGAAGACATGTTCGAAGGTCTCTCTTTAGTTTTGGTTTTTACTAATACTCTATAAATTTAAGAGTATTTATAAAAATTTAGGCAAACCTCAACATCAAAAATATTCACTTTAAATTCTTCTCATTTTACCTCTCACTGCCAGTCAAATTTCTTGATTCTAGATTACTTATTTGTCTTTCTATTAGTCTCTGTTTCGTACTATGCAGTTTGCTTGACCTTTTAATTATCTAAATAACTTATTATAAATAAAATTAGTGACTTTACTTGTTTATTTGGTTATTTTTGAACTTTTTTGGCTCTCAAACTTTTCTTACTTTATGGTACTGATTTACAATTCATCGGGAGCTTAAATAAATTTTTTACAGCGGGAAATCTAAACAAGTGGTTTGTAGTTAAAAATACTTTACTATGCAAGTGTAGAAACTAGCATTTTTAGGAGAAGACTGCAGTATTCCAAAAAAAAGCTGTGAAATCACTGGCTGCAGCAAACACGGAATTTGCATAAATCATCAATGTATATGCGAAGATCACTGGACGGATTCACAGTGCTCACAACCTTTGTGCACCGAGGTAAATAACTGCTCAAGCGTTGGCATCTGCGTTGGTCCTAATTTATGCCAGTGTTATACTGGTTTGTCTGGAGAGGATTGCTCGATATGCGATTCGCCAATATGTAGCCAATGTCATCTTAGATGTATCCATGGAGAATGCGATAAAATGAAGAAGTAAATTTCAGGCTGTTCAGCAATTTATTTTGATAATTACCTTTTAGAGAGTTACCATTTACTAGAAATTCGAAGCTGAAAAGTTAAAAAAACGGAGTTTTAGTGAATGTTTATGTTGGAAAGGATGGACTGGTTATGCATGTGATGTGTGTTACGGAGTAGATTGTGAAGTTTTTGCGATGGCTTTCTTTGTATTACCGTCAGCAATTGGATTACATCAAACTGGAGAAGTAGTTTCGGTTTATGGCAACGATTTTCCAAAGTTAGATTTAGTTATCGTTAAATTAGCCGTTATTTCAGTTGTGTTAATATTACCTTACTAATTTAATTTTTGCTTAGATCAATCACATGTAAAAAACTAAGCAATTCTTAGATGACTAGTTTTAGCTTTTCAAAGTAACAGAAAGTATTTTTAGATCTGAAAATGGGCGCTACACATGTTTATATGGAAGTGTGGGTTCGGAAGGTAGATACGTTTCATCGTCGCTAATAAGATGCACTATTCCAAGTCAAATGGCTAGCGGCCGCTATTCATTCCATGTGATACCATATGGTGTTGATTCTGTTATACCATTTGTTGACAAGAAACTGGTCCGTTTTTTTAAGCTGTATTAGTATGTATTTGCTGATTTTTTTAATATTCTTTCAATTTTAGCGTGTCAAAACTTTTGAAATTCATTTTTTTGAATTTTTGCGAGAATTTTATTGAGATATAATTGATGAAATACAGGTTAGCCGAAAGATTAATTTTTAGGTACATGTCACTTTTTTTAACGAATGTAACCAATCTGAATGTGATGGTTCATGTATTGGAGCCCTCTGCGTATGTCCAATTGATAAAGATGGCGTTACGTGTAGTGACGTTAGTTTCTTACATATATTAACATGACTTCAAATATCACTTCTTTAAAAATGCATGAAACATGACGTTTCAATGCGGTTCACTTGTTTAACAACAACATTTTCTCGTGTTCGCTAATAGAATTGACTGCAGTGAAATAAATGATAATAAGTAACATCAAAAAACTTTTGAAATACACGTGTACAAATATTTCCGCTGTGGCTAAGAGTTGATAGTTTTAACTTCCGTCAATTTCCGTTTCTGTTAAACTTATTACAGAAAATAAGGAACTCAGCATAATAACATTTTAATACTTTAAGAATAGTTAATTTTAGCTATAACTGAAAAGAAATTTGTTCTGTAAGTTGTAAATGTGGTAAAAGTGGAATAACATGCAGTTGTAGACAACTGGATTTTGAATATAAAAGCGCTAAATTCGGTAGAGCAAGGTTAAAATTAAGATACCCATTACTGAAGACACGTTATGAAAACCTGTTGAAGGCGAAGATTCTTTCCAATGGCAGTTGGGATATTACTGACAACGAAAGCTTAACAAATGCGATTGAAGGAGTTCCTTATAGCGCACGTCTTCCAATACAGGTGTTTCGAAGTTTATAATCTAAAAAATTCAGGGTTGTTGGAATCAACAGTTAACGACTTAGAATAAAATTTACAAGTGTTTTTAAATAAAAATATTTTGAAAATAGAGATAGTTAAGGAATTTTTGTTTTATGAAAAGATATTCTTTTTTGACAAATCGTTTAAAATATTGAAAAAAGATTAAATAAATTTGTAATTATTTTTGAAGGACGTAAGTGTGGTATTTAATACAAAAAGTGATATACCTGAACTTCTGGTGTCCCCTACTGGTCTGGTCACCTGGCAAAAACCCATTGGTCGAGACAAACCCTACTCTGTCAGTGTAGTTGTCGAAGCTTCTGGTGGTGATTTATTATTCAATTGGAATTTAACTGTTTCTCCGACCTATGTACCAAAGCTGGTGAAAGCAGTGACGCTTGGACAAACCAACAAGAAACAACTTCAGGGCATAGTAGCATTCAAAAATCAAAAGGTTGGAGTAAAATAATTAAATTGGACCTGCAAATTATATTTAAAGTTAGTGAGAGAAACATCAATGAAGGAATGAAACCGTATATTAGAAAAATTTTGGTTTATTAACATCAAAAAGCTTTAGGGGAGTTTGAGATTTGTAATCAGCGGTTAGAAGAGACTAAATTTTTTGATATACAACCTTGATAGCACTGATACAGCTCATGCTCAGAATATTAGCTAATAATCGTTTTTAAAGAATTTTGGAAGGGTTCCTGTTCGTCTACTAATTTACAAGCAGAATCAGCTTTATGAAGACAGAGTTGTACAAAGCAATGATGACGGTACTGTGGAAACGACTTTTTTCCCTCTCGAACAACCATCGTTGTACGCCGCAGTAAGTGCCGCTTTAAAACTTCCTATAGAACTTTTTTTGCTTTAATGCTGTATTACTTCAATGAAATGTAAAGGCTACATGTCATCGTAATAACCTAGGTAGCATCTCATCCAGGAGTGACCATCCAAAGTCGGGAGTTTGACTGGAAAGAGGCAGTCGAGTGGAAAGATCCAGAACTTCAAGTTACTTTTGAGAAAACATTGCTTGTATCCTCAAATATGTTAGCTCGAACAGTATACGAAGTAAGAAGTGCGCTTGAGAAGCCAGTTGGTTGCAAAATTGAAGTGCTTTTCCCAAGAGATAAATTGGAGTTGAAAACAGTGGAGAAGGTTTGTCACAGCATTTGGTCGTTCCTGTTCAAGTTGCACATTTTGAGTTTAACTTTTAAACAGTAAGAAATAGAAACAGAACTGGAAAACTGTATTTCCAGGAATATCCTGAAAATAAAGGAGATTCTTTAATCTTAAATGCATCATTCGCTATTCACAAAACGCTTGATCACTGTTTGGCACGTATTCAGATATACTGCGCTAACACAGTAAAAAAAGTTATCAGGTACTTGGATAAAGGTTTTCATTTTGTCAAGGAGACTAATAAGCCAACGCATTTTAGTGGTAAATTTTCGAAGTTGTGTTAAAAATTAAATTTTTTTGATTTCTAAACTACTGAAATGAACCAAAAAACGGAAAAGAATGCGGAACAATGTAATATATATTGCTTCTGAAGCAAGATTCTACCTGTTGAATGAGAAGAAAATTTTTCAGAATTGTCATTAAGTGAATGGCACATGAACATTGAACTAACTGCATTTTTAGGCAAAACTTTAGAAATGGTCTAGTTCACTCAACTTTTATTCCCGACATCACCGAACTAAATATTGAATACAGTCCTCAAATTTTACCAAAACTGTATCCTGTAAGATTGTGTTTCTTCTTTCCAAAACAAATATTATTCTGTTTCTTAAACTTCTGTAAAAAAAAAAAAAAAAAAAAAAAAAAAAAAAAA